GGAGCCCCCCGCGGGCGGGAAAGCCAGCGACGAGAGCGGGCCTGCAAAGGGTAGCGAGGAAGCCAAGGGCCGCTTCCGCGTGAACTTCGTGGACCCGGCTGCCTCCTCGTCGGCGGAAGACAGCCTGTCGGATGCGGTGGGGGTCGGAGGCGACGGGCCCAACGTGAGCTTCCAGAACGGCGGGGACACGGTGCTGAGCGAAGGCAGCAGCCTGCACTCGGGCGGCGGCGGCAGCGGGCACCACCAGCACTACTACTATGACACCCACACCAACACCTACTACCTGCGCACCTTCGGCCACAACACCATGGACGCCGTGCCCAGGATCGATCACTACCGACACACAGCCGCGCAGCTGGGCGAGAAGCTGCTCCGGCCCAGCCTTGCGGAGCTCCACGATGAGCTGGAGAAGGTGAGCGCTCCCAGCCTCCCCAACCCCGGGTGCAGGCTGCCCGGGTGAGGTGGCGGGAATGGACGTGCGCGACTCGCTGGCATCTCTGGGTTCAGCTGTCAAGGGTGGAATTGCAGAGGAATGTAACTTAATCTCTTAAAAGTTTGCAGCGGATTTGGCTAGTTACGTGATACTGGAGAGGTAGCATTTAACTGCCTTCCCCATCCAGTTATGGGTCTCATGTACGCTTTCTTTCTCACCCACGCTCAACAGTTACCACCTCTCTGAATGACAGTTGTGTTTGGGGGCCCTCGAGAAGGGAATGTGCAGGAGGTTTAGGTGAGGATGTCTCTCGGGAGAGGGTGGAGAGCACCTACCATCTGTGTCCTTTGTGTGGCTTTTGTACACCTATTAGGGATCCCAAGAGTGGGAACGTTGGTGTTTGAAGGAAAGTCTTAACAGGATGTGTTTGTTGCCTATGAATTATTAAAGCTCCATTCTTGCAATCTTGCATATGCAGAGGATCATAGAAATCTTAAGTCTTGGGACATACTGTTCCTGATAATGGAATAAATTCATTTTTTTGTAATGTAAACCTTTCAGGAGAGGGCTGTATTAAAAAATTAGGAGGGAGGGGCGAGTTTTTCAAGAAAAAGGAAAACAGGAGAATTGACATCCACGGAGGATGTCCAGAAAGACCTGGGGTCTTTTTGCATAAGCAGTTATATTTTGTAAACAGAAAACCATCCCCTTTAAACTCATTGATTTTTGTAACTATTTTTTATGGTCACATACAACTTTTATTTATTTAGAACTCACAATTTTTTTTTGAGATAACATTGATGCTTTTGAGATTTGATTAATGTTTAACTTTTTATGAGTTGGGATTACTTAAAGTCTGCTTTTACAAGTGTGTAATAACTACAATGATGGAATTTTATGAATGCAAGGAGTTGGTACCACATAGGCTGAAATGGTCAGAGTGTGGAAAACTTTAAATCCAGTATGTGGTTTCTTTTGGATATGATTATTTGATCTCATACAGTCACTTCATACAAGACTGTACTTGTCCCAGTGTTTAATAATGTAATATTCACACAGAAATAATTACAGAACTCCCAATCCTTACAGCTTATTGATTGTTTAAATGCCTGACATCACTTAGCTTTAGATAATACAACTCCTGTTACTCCATTGTGGTATTTTGTCATATCTGAAGCAACAATTTCTATAATACTTCTTTTATTCATACTCCTGTAATTTCTGTAAAATCTATTCATTTTTCTTTTCAAAACTCAATTCTTTATAGACTAAAGTAGATATGGAGCAAATGTTTTTTCCTGGAGAACTTTTACTTTTGAAAATATTATACAGATATATTTTAGATTTCATCAAAACCAAGTAATTTAGCAGTAAAGCAATCTGTATTTACCCTTAAGTTTTAGAAAGACTTTTCAAATTTGAAGGATATATATCTTGAACTTATATGGGAAGTTTTTGTTAATATTATTTTTTGAGCTGGAGTCTCACTCTGTCGCCCAGGTTGGAGTGCAGTGACATGCTCACGGGTTATTTTAAATTAAATTGTCTTAACAACAAAGCTCTTCAAGTTCTCCAAAACTTTAGGTTGGTATGTCGTTTATAATTAATTAATTTTTGACATTTTGGTTCAGTTTATAGCATCTGAAAAACAGAATACCTGCATTGTTAACTGTACGCTGGTTGAAGAAGTCACCTAAACTTTCAGGGTTACTGTGAAGATTTAAAAAGTCAGTAAAAATAAAGGGCCATTTTCAGTGCCTGGAAAATAATGGGTAGTGTAGTTATTATTTCCCTCATGTATTGGTTCTTCAGAAAGTAGAGTTAAACTCTAGGATCTTGATTTTAGATCCTCTTAATTTCTATATTATTAAATTAATGTAGCGTATAAAATATTATGTTCTGAGTTTCATTTATGCAGCAGGAAGTGTAATGAATTCTTTGTAGTTTTTTTCCTACTACTATTCACATTCTTTGTGAACACTGTTTTATGGGTTAACTAATAATGGCATACTGAAGATATTTTTGCTTAGAATTTTAGCAGATGAATTAAATACGTGTGATGTTAAGCATTACAAGTATGACTATACACCACTGTTGAAAGGAGTGATGATTCCATGGAATAGCTAGATCTTCCAGAAATTGTCTCTCACCCTGTTTAGATTAACTTCTGTTTCTCTTTCTTCTAGCCCTCAGCGAATGCTTAATATTTAGAATTTCCATAACATTTAATTCTAGTATATGAGTGATTGGCATGTGTTCTACTTTGGTCCACCAAGTGCTTAAGTATCTACCATGGTTATAACTCTGTGTTGGGAACTGTGGAAGAACAAAAGAAATAAAAGACAAGTGCTTCAGAAACTTGTTAGGGAAAAGGACTGGATTGCCTTCCTTCTACATAAATTGCTTTCATTACCCATCACTGACTTTTTAAAAGTATTTTGCCTAAATTTCAACTGTAGGGGAATAGTTAGATATCCTTGGTGCATCTTGCTGTATTATGTAGCCATTATAAGACCAGGATGCATGAGTTCTCCATTTATCAAATGTTGGGAAAAGGATTATCTTAGGTGTTGGCCAAATGGTTGTGGCACTGTGGGATGATGCAGTGATTAGCAAAACAGATACTGCCTCTGCCTCGATAGACATTAACAAGATAGGTGGACAAATAACAGTTACGTACTATTGTTTCAGTTCCATGGAAGAAAAGGATGCTTGTGAGGACATAATAGAACCTAATTTTAACTGGGTTTGGGGGAAGACCTTTTTCAAGAAGTGTGGCATGGAATCTGAAACCTGAAGGGTAAGCTGATGATAGGGTGGAACTACGTTTTGGGCTAGGGACAGCATATATGAAGGTGGTGAGGTGAGATAGAGTAGTGTGTTCAAAGAACTAAAAAGAGGTCATCCGTTGTATTTCATTATATCTGTAGTGGGAAACTACTGAAGGATTATGTCTGTGTAAGGCAGCGACACAATCCATTTTGTTTTAACATCTCTAACTGCTGGGTGGAGAATGGATTGACGGGCAAGAATGGAAGCAAGGGAACTCAAGGTATTACTGTGGTCTGGGTGAGAGATAATAAGGGCTAGATTAGATGTGGCTGGATTGGGTGTGGGAGTAAGAGAAGCTGACTTTCAAGTTTTGGACTTGAGCAACTTAACAGATGGCGGTACTGTTGCCTGAAGTGAGAAAGACTGGCTTAGATTTAGGGGAGGGGACCACGACTATACAAGAAGAATTCTGTTTGAGTAGCCTGTGAGACGTCTTATTCCAAAATGTCTGTTTGTATCTGTAAAGGTATGGTGGTTTAAGGTCATGGACGAAATTACTTAGGGAGGATGGTAGATAGCAGACAGAAAATAGGGTCTGGGATTGGGCCTAGAGATTGTCTAAAGGTCTTTAGTGATTGAAGACCTACTCACAAAGGAAATTAAGTGAGAACTGCTAGACTGAAAAATAGTCTGGAGAGTGGTGTTGGGGAAACTGAGAGAAAAGAGGTTTTTGGTTTTGTTTTGTGTTTTGTTTTGAGTCAGAGTCTTACTCTGTCGCCCAGTCTGGAGTGCAGTGGCACACTCACAGTCACAGCAGCCTTGATTTGCTGGGCTTAGGCAATCTTCCACCTCAGCCTTCCAAGTAATTGGAACTATAGGCGCATGCCACCACACCCAGCTAATTTTTTTTTTTTTTGGTTTATTGTAGAGACGAGGTCTCACCATGTTGCCCAGGCTAGTCTTGAACCCCTGGGCTCAGGCAATCCTTTTGCCCCCGCTTCCCAAAGTGCTGGGAATACAGGTGTGAGCCCCTGTGCCTGGCTTGAAAAGAGATTTAAAGAAGGCAGAGACTCTTGATAGGAATTGATTTTTTTAATTGTAAATAATCAAATCAAACCACAATATTGATATGCTTCCACAGTAAGAAATAGAATGTGAAAGGTAATAAAGAAGTAATTGATGGACATCTCCAGCATATTTGATGGAATGCAAGATTATCAAGTGTAGAATAGTAGAGTGATGGATGATCTGTACTAGCTCCTATTGGATTTAAAGCATTATTATAAAAGTAGATTTTTTTAAAGGTGGCATTACCTTTGTAGTTGTTTCTAGACCAAGGATTGGCAGCCTTTTGCTGGTGGTATGTCAAGTCTTTGTAAATGGCTCCTCTATTTTTGCCTTTGTCTTTGACAAGAGGGGAAGTATAGAGGGAACAATTATATTGTCTTTTCATGTGTCACTTAGCTTGTTGGATTTTTCATTTAATTCCTAAGAAGTAGGTCTTATACACATTTTACTCATGATGAAATGAGGTAATAACAACTGAAGAAATTGCTTAATAGTCACTTTTATAGAAAGTAGTACAGCCGGAGGCCAGGCACAGTGGTGGGAACCTGTTATCCCAGTTTCTTGGGAGGCTGAGGTGGGAGTATTGTTGAACCCAGGAGTTTGAAGCTGTAGTGCTCTATGATCATGCCTGTGAATAGCCATTGCAGTTCAGCCTGGGCAACATAGTGAGACCTCATCTCTTGAAGAAAAATAAAAAGATAGTACAGCTGGACTTGGACTTCACACTTTGGTTTTTCTGACTCTAATGTTAGGGCATAGAAGCACCAGGTTCTTCTTTATCTCTTCTTCCTTCTTATTCCCCAGACCTGTTCTAAGATGTTAGGGATGTTGAGGGGATTATCTTGGGAATTACGACTATCACCTTTCTACCTTGAACTCCTCAGAGTTGAATGAGTATGTAACTGACAGAAAGGAGGAACATACTTGTGATGATGTAATTATTGATTAATGTGGCTGTCTCCTTTCATTAGCACCTCAGTTTGTGTTTCATTCATCTTCATACAGAGAATAGGTACTTAATAAATACTTGTTCAAGGAATGTACAAATCAGGTGGGCAGTTCCTGTCACTTAACAAGGACTTTACGTAAAACACTAGATAAACATGGTATCTTTGCTAACACTGAGCTGCCTCTCTGAG